TTAACTTGAATATTAAATTTTGACCCTAAATTAATTTTATTTTATTTAGAAGTTTTATTTTAAATTAAAATATTAATTCAATTAAGTTGTATCCTAATTTGATATTTAATTAAAATTTGATTTTAATTAAATTATTTCACCATAATATATTCTTGGAATTAGAGTTTGACTCTAATTTGGTATTTAATTTTAATTAAATAAATTCACCTTAAAATTGAGATATTAGAGTTGGACTCTAATTCGATATTTAATTAAAATTCAATTTTAATTAAATAAACTCATGTCAATTTGGTACAACGAATGTGAATTAATGATAAATTAAAAAGGTGTTTTAATTTATCTTATTTTGATTAGATCAAAATAATAATTCGCGTCGTTAGATATCATGATTGAGGATCCTAATGGATCATACACAAAATGAGAATTAGAAAAATGTAATATACTAATTAATTAATTGACAATTGTTGGACAATTAATTAATTTGGTTACTTATTAATAAGGCAAATTAATTAATCAGCTTAATTAATTAGATTAATTAAACATTGGACCAGATTAAGTTTAAGTGTCGAGCCAAATTCACTTGGACTTCTATTAATAAGTTATTAGGGTTCTGAGAAATAAATAACACAATTATTATCTTGCTAGTACAAGAACAGAGAAATTTTAATTCTTTCATTCTTGTATCATGTATGGATTTTTATTGGAGGTTGGATAACTGTTGATTGCAGATCGTAATTGTTTGTGTTCAAGATAAGCAAAGAAATTTGCAGAATTTAACAAATATGTAATTCTTATTACAGTTTCTTTTTAAATATAAAGAAGATGTTTAGTGGAAATTGAAATATTTTTTAAATTTCGTTGTGCATGTTAAGTAAATTTCCGGCAATGAAGAGTATCATTGAGGTGCATGAAGTATAGTTCTTTAGCTTTTCATTGTAGTGTCCTCCGAAGAAATAAGGCTCTATTTGATTGGTGTTATTTTCTCTAGAACTTGGAAAAAGAATTTCATTTTTTTCGGTTTTCACTTGTTTGATTGCCACAATTTTTTAGGAAAAACTTTTTCCCCCCACCTTTATTTTCTTCAAAATTGATGATTTTGGTGGGAAAAGCTTTTCTAGGTGTTGCAGTCTTTTTATTTTTTTAAATGAAAACAAATTTCATAACTAGTTGTAAAAAAATTTCACTTTAATGAACAATTTTCATGTAAAATAAAGCCAAACGAATACTAAACTTTGATTAAAAAATGATTTTTTTAGGAAAAAAAATTTCGTTTTTTTTTTTTTACTTTTGGCAATGAAAACAAATTTTATAACTAATTGTGAAAAAAATTATCACTTTAGTGGACAATTTCCATATAAAACAAAGCTAAACGAACACAAAATTTAAAAATTTTCCGGGTGGAAAATTATACCAATCAAACACACTAAATTAACAATTCACTGGAAAACAATTTCTGGCAATCACTTTCCCTCAAATTCATTTTCTTTCCACCAATTTTCCACTCTTGCAATCAAACGGACCCTAAGAGATATCTCGTGTTCTATTAGTATATGTTTCAATCATGATATGTACGATTACATTATTGATTTTCAAGTTTGTGACAACAATCCACCTTACATGGACCCAAAGTAGCCACCTCCATCTCGTGAAGAGCAAAGCGGAAAAACTCCACCCCGAGAGTAGCTAAAGTGGGTGGCATGTAGGATCTCGTGTCCACGTGACCAAGAAGACATCCACGTCATATAACTTCAATCACGTCTAAGCCATGAGATGAGCATATTATAGGTTTGATATAGCATGAATATTTTGGCATGTGCTTTAAGTCCTAAGCCCAACATAAATATTGAATTTGGACTTGGAGAACTATTACTATACCTCCACTTAGTGTGGAACCAAAATAACACCACATAGGGATGTTAAAAAAAAATTCGATCAACCCTACTTGGGGGGCATCGACTTGAACAAGACGAGAATTCCTCGCTCATCGAGTTGACAGGGTGAGGCTCAAGTTCAAAAAGGGGACGTGTATCGTTCGCTCACCTCATTTAGCATTATTTTAAAAAACAAATTTTAAAGACGAAAGATTAAAAAATAAATAAAATAATTAATGGGACAAATGAGTGCTGTGCCTCGTCCTACCCCGAACATCTTAAGCGGGGCATAAGGTGAAAAATGCCCCAATGGGGGTAGGACTTGCCACGCCCAAGCACGTCCCATTACCTCTCATCTTTACATGAATTCAAAAATAATTCATAATCTGAAAAAGAAAATAAAAATTATGAAAAGCAAATGTTGCAACGATAAATTTCAGCACAAAATCACAATTAAAGTCGAAACTTAAAACTTGAAACTAACCTATCAAACTAGGTTAAATAACGTGAGTTAGTCTTATTTATTGGCCTTCTCACGGCCGCACAATTGGAACTCGCAGCAGTGAGGACACACTCCGCGTAGCAGGCAGCTAGGAATATAATGCACACATCCTTTGGCATGAAAAATCGAATTGCAATCCGTAAAGTGGATTGAGCTTCAAATTCAATAAGATTTTCAATAATGTATTATTCTCATGGTGCTCTAAAATGTTCACTTATTCTGGTATTCGACACCTATCCTCTCTCCTATATTTGCCCTAATGTGTACTCTATACTTACGTTATTTTTTAGATGAAAATGAATAGATACTCGAGTAAATCACTACAAATTGTGCAATTAAATTTCTATTTGTTAAGAATGTCTTCTCCTCGTGAAGAAAGATGACAATGCTTTCCAAGAAAACAATAGGTATAGTTTAAATAAAATGTTAGTTTTCTTTATTTTTGCTAAAACAAGAGCCGTCTTCCCGCTCTAGTTCACCATCAGATAGTTGGTGTGATCCTTGTAGATGTCGTTAAATGATATATTTATTTAAATGTAATATCATATAATTCATTTATTTGAATTAATAAAGTGTGGTCACCTAAATTAGTGTTCTAACGCCGTTAATACTAAATAGTATTATTCAAAATATAAGTATCACTTTCAATCTTATATTTGACCCAATTTTTGAACTTTCATTTTTGTGCGTAAAATTGACTAATGCAATAGTCCAAAAAACAAAAAATAAAAAATAGAATAATACTATTTAGCAACGTTGCTGTTTCACACCCATTTAAACAACAACAATAATGATATTAAATTATATGTTCAATTAAATAAAATGAATTATGCCCTATGTAATATGATTTATAATATGTTGACATCTAAATTGGAATATTATTGGTGTTCAATAATATTACTAAAAAAAAAAAATTCCAAATGAGGCATTTATATAGCTTACCAATACACGTTTAATGTTGGTATGAAAAGCAGTTTCTTCGCATCGTTCTCTTGCACTTTTAGTTGGATACTTCCAAGATCCGCCTTGATTGATTGCTATTCTTTTCTTCTTACTTTCTTCTTCATAAATTTCTTGCAATTAGCGGTCAAAAATACTTGTCTAATTATTTACTAATAAAAAAAGAAAAAGAATAATGCACCGTTAAAATAAAAAATATCATTTTTTTTTTCTGAAAACAAGATTTTCCTCACTGTATTTAAGTATTATTATTATTATATACTCGAGAATCTCAATTCAGGTTCAATTCCCAGATTTTGCATATCTTTATGTTCGTCAGCCCTGGTGGGAGTAACAGAAACAATCTTCTTCTCCATCTCCCAACCTTATCTCCTCCTCTTATTTTCACTTCATAAAAATTGTATCTTTTGAGCTTCTTGAGGAACTTCTGTGCATAGAGAAAAATGCAAGCAGTTTTACAGACAAAAGGGCTTCTTTCTTTACCTTCAAACCCCAGAATCAGAGCTTTTCATCCACCACCATCCCAGGGGTTGAGGCATAGATTCAACCCTTTGCATCCCTTGTTAAAACCAAAATATTTTAATGTGTCCTCTTTATCTCTTGATGGATTTTCAAAATTTCAAGGATTTGTGACAAAACCCCAATTGGTTGGTCAAAAGAACAGAACTTTCCCTATCTGCAGGGCTGAGGCAGCTGCAGCATCAGGTGATGGGCAACCTGTTTATGGAGAGAAAGAGTCGCCCAAGTTTATGGGTATGGAGCTTGTGACCCTTAAGAAAATTATACCACTTGGGATGATGTTTTTTTGTATTTTGTTCAATTATACAATTCTTAGGGACACTAAGGATGTGTTGGTGGTAACAGCTGAAGGGTCTAGTGCTGAAATTATACCTTTCTTGAAAACATGGGTGAATTTGCCTATGGCTGTTGGGTTCATGCTTTTGTATACAAAATTGGCAAATGTGCTGTCAAAAGAGGCTCTTTTCTTTACAGTTATTTTGCCATTTATAGCCTTCTTTGGTGCATTTGGGTTTGTGTTGTACCCTCTCAGTCACTATTTCCACCCCACAGCTCTTGCTGATAAGCTTCTGAATATTTTGGGTCCAAGGTTTCTTGGGCCACTTGCAATTATGAGGATCTGGAGTTTCTGTTTGTTCTATGTCATGGCTGAACTTTGGGGAAGTGTGGTGATCTCTGTGCTGTTTTGGGGATTTGCTAATCAGGTAATTGGCTCACCCCATATTACATCTATGCATATATATGTTTTCAATCATTCTGTCTTGTTGATTACCTTTTGGAAGTAATTCAAAGTTCTTCAAACAGATAAGTAGACCTGGTTCGAGATTCTTACATATACTTGCTGAAGTATCAGCGTCTGTATATATTTATATATTCTCTTGTTTATGTTGTGTTTCATATTCCATTGATTCCCAACTTAGGATAATCGACGTTATACTTTTGAGCTGAATTGAAATCAGCAAGCAATAAATTTTTTTTTTCAATTGAATTAGCAAAAGTTTTGCTTCGTAAAAAATATGTCACCCATACTTTTTGTTGTTGTCTACATGGTATAGTCTAATGTGTGGATTCTAGTTGTTTTGTCGAAAAAAGATTTTGCTACTCTATATTCTTAATGGTGGCCCATTTATATATCCACTAGTTGTGTGGCGTTATTTTTCTGTGATAAAATTCATTCTTTTATTGTTACATTATTGTTGTGCTCTGTGATAAGAGAAAATGAAGAAAGAAAAAATCATTTTGGGAAGTTTATTGCGCCTTTGCCTGCTAACCACATTTATGTGGAATTACAATGTGATTTGGAGAAATATCGACCATATTTCGATATATTATGTTGCAGATTACTACTGTTGAGGAAGCCAAAAGATTCTATCCTCTTTTTGGACTTGGAGCTAATGTCGCCCTTATTTTCTCTGGCCGTACTGTTAAATACTTCTCTCAATTGAGACAAAATCTGGGTCCTGGTGTTGATGGTTGGGCTCTCTCCCTGAAAGGAATGATGAGTATTGTGGTGGTGATGGGTCTGGCTATCTGTTCTCTTTATTGGTGGGTGAATCATAATGTTCCTCTTCCCACACGTAGTAAGAAGAAGAAGGTAATCTACCACATTGATGCTTTTGCTTTATTTGTTATATTCAAATATTTAATCTAATGAATTTTGTTTCCCAAACGAAGAAGTTTGGAAACAGTGGTTTTATCTAGCTTTACACTTATTTAATGCCACAACAGAATTGCATTTACAAAACTTAAGTGTCTGAAATTCACCTCAGACTTGTTTTTTCAACAATTTGAAGTTTTTGCATACTGATCTATCATTGCGCTGCTGCATTCGGAAAAGTTGTAGTGATGAGAAGTATTTTGAATTTGTTTAATAGTCTACTATTAGGAAATGAAGTTTGCTGATGTTCGTCCACTGTATTTTTTACTGTTATCATTTATCTTCTGGCAGGAAAAGGTGAGGATGGGAACAATGGAGAGCTTAAAGTTTTTATTGTCTTCAAGATATATTAGGGATCTTGCTGCATTGGTGGTAGCATATGGTATTAGCATCAATCTCGTTGAAGTTACATGGAAATCGAAGCTTAAGGCTCAGGTAAAATTAAATTAGGCCTTTGAATATGCACTTTTCTCAACTTCTGTTTTTGATATATCATCTCTAATTCTTATGGTCTCTGAATTATGTAGTTTCCAACGCCAAATGAATATTCATCCTTCATGGGCGACTTCTCGACTGCTACCGGAATAGCAACTTTCACGATGATGATATTGAGCCAATGGATTTTCGACAAATATGGTTGGGGAGTGGCCGCAAAGATTACACCCACAGTCTTGCTTCTCACAGGAGTTGGTTTCTTCTCCCTGATTTTGTTTGGTGACCCTTTTGCTCCTGCTCTTGCCAAATTCGGGATGACTCCACTTTTAGCTGCTGTGTATGTGGGAGCTATGCAGAACATTTTCAGTAAGAGTGCGAAGTACAGCTTATTTGATCCATGCAAGGAAATGGCTTACATTCCTTTGGACGAGGACACCAAGGTTTGATTCTTGCCTAGTAATTATACATCACTTCATCTCAATATATTATTGTTGAGTGTTGAATCAAGGAATCTATCTT